CAATCCAGAAAAACAATTTTGTTAACTTCTGTGCATGTTCTCTTTGCAGATTTTGTTTCTGCTGCTCTTTATGTCTTTTTCCCATTTCTGTTAAAGAAGAAGAAAAAAGCCAATAATATTGCAGCTGCCACATCCTCAAGGCACTTAATTCAGACTAGTTGCACTGTATATGTTGGATTGCTTCTGAAATAAGTGGTTTGAGGATTGTAGTCTCTGTTACATTCCCCATGGCACAGACACCATCTGTTCCATTTGCTTCTTGTGGCGGCTTGAGCATAATACATGGATTGCAGCCTTTTTTTCTTATCTTGAACTTCTAGTGAAGAATACATTTAGTTACTAGTCCTTGTTCATAGTATACTTTCTTCAACTTCAAAACAAAAAAAATTCCTTCCAGTAGCACCTTAAAGACCAACTAAGATAGTTCTTGGTATGAGCTTTCGTGTGCATGCACACTTCTTCAGATACGAAGAAGTATCTGAAGTATTTCTTCAACTTGTGAGTGAAAAATCATCTTGGTCTTCTAGCTAGAAAGAATGAAAGGTTTAAAAGGATGTTGACATTCGTGGTAGGAGATGGGACACCATGTAACCTCTTAGTTTCTAAGAGCACTTAAATAAACAACTTTTGTGTTTTTGCTCTTGCATGCTATGGCAGAACCCCAGTGGAACTGCTAATGTGATCCCTGGAGGACTAATAAACATCAAAGCAGGAAATGTTTACTAGATGCTTTAGAAGTATTGCATGTTGAAACTCTTGGTTAAAAGCACATTTGGTCAGTGACGAAGCTTTAGTTTACTGAATTGGAATGACTTAAAAAGTGGGATACTAATATACATACAGGGAATTTTTGAAAAGCCTTCTATCCACTGGAATGGTGGCAGCAGTGGTTACTTGAGCAATAGCTTGTTATAAACTAAGGTTATTGTCCATAGAACAGGGGGAAGTCCCATAGTCATAAGAGCTTCTCTCTGTGTTCTCGGCAAGGAATGGAGTCTGTGGTTCAACGCCAACCGCTGTGTGCTTGACAACAATTTCTAACTAGGTCTAGTACAAAACCATTGTAATGGCTATTTAGGTTATTTTCACCCTGTCTTGCAACTTAAAAAGAAACCCTCAGGGTAGCTTATGAAACACAGTGTACACAACAGGGATCTGTGCTGCTTTCTTCCCCTCAAACAGTGAGGGCAGGACCCAGGTGGGTAGTTTGTTCCAGGCAGGCTGACTGCCACTGTGGGAAGCTATAAACCATTGCTTTCCCTAAGCGCCATCACCAGAGGCTGCTTCCTTTCTTCTCCTCTTCACCTCCCCCCTCCCAGCATTCTAGTCCACAGAGACATTTCTGAAGGGGTGGTGGTGTCTGAATGGAGATTGCACTGGATTGCTTCCAGTCTTGTAACTCTCTCTAACCATATTAACACAGCTTGGTTAATATAAAGCCAAAGATAGCTAACCTGTGGTCCTCTAGATGGTGTTAGACTATAACTCCTATTACCCTGGCCCACTGACTGTGCTGGTTAAGGATGATGGGAGCTGGTGTCCCAATGGCATTGAGAGAGCCACAGGCTAACTGCTAATTTAGAATGACATTTACAAGCAAGAGTAAGCCACAGCAAGCCTTGAACTTGTACACTTCCATTCTCCCTATCCTCCAGGAAGAGGCGTTTGGAAGCTTCCCTATTAACCATGATAACCATGGTTAACATGAACGTTTGTCTGGAGTGAGATACCACGGGGTCAGGTCTGGACACTAAAGCCAAACCATGACTTAACTGCTGGCCGCATGGCAACAGCAGCAGAAACGAAGCAGCTGTGATTTTTGCCCCAATCATGTTTCACTCTTCCTCGTTCACACTTCGCAGTGGTTTGAATTGTCCAGTGAAACTCAGCAGAATTCATTTCCAAGGTTTTGATCTTCTTCACAAATCATCATCTGAACTGTCACTTATGTCAGTTTAAATTCTGTATTTTAGAGTTATACCCTACATTCACAATTGTATATGGGGTTGAAACACAGATAGCTAAGAGCGTATAAAAGATAATAGTTAAAAAGTAATTAAACTACAATAGAATTAAAACGATGTAAAAACAAATCTGTTGAAATGCAGGCAGTAAAAAAAACAGCACAGCACTATTAAAAGCCCTTTCCTTAAAAGCAGTCAATTCCCCAAAGCCTGCCAGAGCACGACAAATCTTCACTTGCTGGCAAAAGGACAACAAAAAGGAAGCCAGACTAGCCTCTCCATTAATGGAATTCCAAAGTTTGGGAGCAGCCACTGAGAAGGCCCTACCAAATGGGCCTAGAAGAGTGATGGGCCTGAGAGAAGGGCCTCACCCAAAGATCTCAGACCCTGTGCAGTTCATAAGGGAGACTATGGTCTTTCAGATAGCCTGGGCCTAAGCCATGTGGAAATGGAATTGCTGACCACAGGATGTAGCAGTGGCCAAGCCATTAGATGGTGGATGGGAGAGACTGGTGGTAGAGGTGTGTGGAAACCTCTGGCTTGTAATGTCTACTGAATGCAGCCTACTGTACAAAGTTTAGAGTTGAATCTGTTGCTGTCCTCACTTTTGCCTCTGGCCTTGCCAACTTAATTGCCTCTGGGGGACACCCACCACTGTCATGTGAAACACACCCAACTGTTGCTTGTGCATGAATTCAACCCTTGGGCTGGAAAATGTTCCCAACTCCTTGTATTGAAAAACAAAGGCTGTGTGTGTGTATGTGTGTGTGTGTGTGTGCGCACGCGCGCACATGCGCTCTTCTTGGAACCAGACTGTGATTTGCTTGTTTTAAAAACGAGGAGTTACACTTCCCTATGAAGGACAGTCAGATTAACTATAGCTATTATAGATCTGCTAGTTGTCTTGCAGAAACTGCTAGGCCTGCTCTGACTTACGACTTTGAAGTAGAAATAAGATTTCACTTGCTCAGTGTGCATTCATTTAATACAAAGAGTTTAGGGCAACAATAGATGTTATAGTCTTCCCATCCTAGAAGCTGTGTTCTGAATTTTACAAAGTAAGAGTTTACTTAACATCTGGACATATGTTATCTAAACATGGGAAAACTTTCCAGACAGTATGCCCAAATTAGATCCTCGAACAGCTGGAGAGAGTGGTTGCATCTGGATGTCTCAAAAGATTTTAGATTGAAGTAAGAACACAGATTTAGCATTTTGGCACACTTCAGATAGCTTGGATTCTAAAAGGGATCCCAAAGCATGTGAACTGTAATTTTTTTGAATACAGTTCACAGAACTTACTTTGTACACTAATAGTTGTTATGGTATGTTACAGTTCTTAATTTATCACACATGCAGACTACATTCACCCTTTCCTGACTAATCAAGGTGCTTCTGATGTATAATCCTCAGATGCCGCTGTGGTTCTTGTGGGCAATGGAGACCTGAAAGTGTTTACCAGATTGGTTAGTCTGGCCAGGGCTTTTGCACAAATGAAGTTGTCTTAGGCAGAGTTGGGCCACTTGCAAAGCTATTTCTCAGTCCTGCTACCTTAAGATCCTTTTAATTAAAAGCACGCAAAGCATTTGCTTTGCCTCTGAACAAAGCATTCTTCCCTAACGTACCAAAATTTACCATTATCATATTCAAGACCATTTCCTTAGGATATACGAGGGTCCTATCCCTTATAAAGGGGACGCGGGTGGCGCTGTGGGTTAAAGCCTCAGCGCCTAGGACTTGCCGATTGAAAGGTCGGCGGTTCGAATCCCCGCGGCGGGGTGCGCTCCTGTTGCTCGGTCCCAGCGCCTGCCAACCTAGCAGTTCGAAAGCACCCCCGGGTGCAAGTAGATAAATAGGGACCGCTTACTAGCGGGAAGGTAAACGGCGTTCCGTGTGCTGCGCTGGCTCGCCAGATGCAGCTTGTCACGCTGGCCACGTGACCCGGAAGTGTCTGCGGACAGCGCTGGCCCTCGGCCTATAGAGTGAGATGGGCGCACAACCCTAGAGTCTGGCAAGACTGGCCCGTACGGGCAGGGGTACCTTTACCTTTACCTATCCCTTATAAAAGTACTCTTTCTGATTTGTGGCAACATAGTACACAGTAACCATTGTTTTTCATGCAAATTGCGCTTCACCATATAAGACAAAACCATCGTTCTACACTATGGCACAGAATGGTTCAGCTTTGTCTGGCTCCTCCCAGTCTTCAAAGCCAGGCACCAAAAACCTTGAAACAATAGAGTCTTCTTCAGTTTCTGTTGACCATCTCTTTAATTGAAGATGTGATTTTGAGCAAGGCCTGAGAACAAAGGCTTCTCAAAGCTTGCCTCGCTGTGCCTGTCTCCATTGTGTTCAGTTCCAAGCTATCTGTATGCAGTTAGGCAAGCTTTTGTGGCATTCATACCTTCTGTGGCATTCGAGTGAGTCTGCTGGGGGGGAAATGTCAGTTGTGTATGTGATGTAAAAAGTCACTTTAGTAGTAAGGAGGAAAAGTTGGAGGTATGCTGAACAGACATAAAGGGATATGAAAAAAGTTTATTCAGAAAAGGGAAATCATTTTTAAGTTTCTTGGGGGGAGGAGTGCTAGATCTCCAAATTGCATCTTGGAGTTACAGAGCTGCAGGAATAACTGTTGTTAACAGTACCTCATTCTGTTTTTAAGCACAACAATTGTAAATTGCCCTGCTTATAAAATTGGTTATACTGCTATGGATTTGGGAATAAAGGATATCCTGGGTTAGGAATGTCGACTGGTTTACCATTTTATTTTAAGCATTAATATGCTGCTCAATTATTTGCATTCTAAGCTACATGCATAAAAACAATCCATAAACAATTAACGTAACACTACTTTAAAATGCCTGCTGCAAGCCTTAGTTACCCGCACTTGAGCAAGGAGGTTACCTGTCTAATCTCAGCTGGGAGGGAGCTTCATAGACTTGGTCCCACCACTGAAACTATTTTGTTATATCCTGCTCTATTATTGGTTTGCCTCAATGAATCTGCTAATTCAAATTTTCTCCTCCCCTCACATAGATCAATGAACTGAGCCATGTTCAGATCCCTGTTATGTTGATGCCAGATGACTTCAAAGCATATTCCAAGATAAAAGTGGACAATCACCTTTTCAACAAGTAAGTGAAGCTGTTAGTTGTTTTTAGTTTGGTTTATAATATGGATTATGTGATTCAGTCATTTGTAATAAGCTTAGACAGTATAGGCACGACCTACTGCATTTTTTGTCATATGGCATACAGTTGAACTGTGACTACAAACTTACTGTCGAACTGTGACTACAAACTTACTGGAACATCTGCATGTCAAAAAGTGGTATTTGTTAATGCAAGGGTGGCCAACATGGTGCCCTCCAGATGAAGTCGTCTTAACGCACTGCAGAGGGTGACGGGACTGAAGCGATGGCCCATGGGAACTGCAGCCTCCTTGGCAACAGCGAAGTCAGGAACATAATTACTCTTTCAGTCCTGACATTCTCTGCAGCGCATCAGGACAACAGTATGGAGGAGGGAGGAAAAGATCCTTTCTTGCTCCTTCACATCCTGCTTAAAGGAAGGGAATTCAAGAGCAGAGGAGGTTTAGGCCCATTTGCCTCTAGAGTTTTATAAGGCAAGGCTAGCATAGGTCTCTTCTGGAAGTAAATGGGCAACTGGAGCAGTAGCATAATGTGTGTCTGATGAAATGCCATCAGATGAGGAACTGCACCTTCTGTGAAGAGCAGCCGCCATTACAGTGCAGACTTGTCTAGACTTGTCTCACCAGGCATGAAGGCATGAATGTCTCTTTGCTAGGTCTGAGTCCTGCAAATGAGGTTGGTGCTCTGTCTGAAGTTGCAGGCTCACCGATGGATCCAGGTTCTGCCCCCAGGCTGAGAACCTGCTTAACCAGGGGAAGCTGATGCGGTCAGTGGAAATCCTTTCCCTTCCTGCATATCAGGGCCTGCCAACAGCTACTAATGCAGGCTTGCCTGGATTAATCTTCAAGCAGTTTGCCTGTCACCAGCCATGGTGAGGCACTGGTAAGCACTGGCACCTTAGGACCTTGGTTTCATTAAAGGGGCATGCAAGTCTAGCTAGATGAGCTTAAAGCTATCATAACACTCTAGATTTCCATATGAGCTTACCCGCTGGCCCTGCATGATTCCCTGCAGAGGCTGGAATGGGTGTTTTTGAGAGACTAACAGCAAATATCTCTGGTCTTTTGTGCCCCCAAATAGCAGAGGAATGCACTTTAATTTTGCAGGCGTTCATTAGGTGCACCCTTCTCATTTCCCTCTTATAACCGACAGTACTAGGAGCTGCCAAAAGAGTTAGTGCAGTAAACAGCATCCTAATCACTTAGACTACGGGTATCGAACTTGCAACCTTGGCATTATCAGCATCATGCAGTAACCAACTGAGCTATCCATGTTGTTAAGCTTCTCTAGCTCTGCACTGCCTGACAGCAGCTCTCCAGATTTTAAAGGAGTTTTTTCTTGCTCCACCAGGAGATACCAGTGATTGGATGTGGCACCACTTTTTTGGGGGGGAGGGTATGCAGAGCATGTGTTCTGCCACTGATCTATGAATTCCCACCCCCCACTGCCATTGCAAGTTCAGTTTTTGGCAGCCTTCCTGATGTTTCTGGAATACAACTTCCATGATCCCTGATTATTCGTCATGCTGGCTGGGGCTGATGGGAGTTGGGAGGGCACTGGATTAGATGAGCTGGAAAAGGCCTTTTCCGGAGACTTTGGATTGCTTATCTCAATCTAAGTAGACAACATTAGGCTAGATGGACCAAATGTTGGGCACTGCTGTGCTAGGTTTTTTTTTTAAAAAAATTGCACATGACACAGGCCTCACTTTATCTAGCTAGTTGGACCTTCTAGGGAAATTCTTGGGCAAAATATAACACATTAAGTTCTTGAGCAAAATATGATGTTCAGTTCAGAGGTTTGTTACAGTTCTGTTTAATGCATTTTTATGTAGATCTACAGTGTTCTGTATTATAGTAACTGTTGCTGTTTTGGAAGGTACTTGGTCTTGTAGGGGGGAAAGCTTACTTCTGCAGATTTATCTTTATAAATTCTTAGCAAGTTTTTTCCCCCTTTCAAATCTTCTGTTTCAGAGAAAATATGCCAAGCCATTTCAAATTCAAAGAATATTGTCCAATGGTTTTTCGTAATCTGCGAGAGAGATTTGCAATTGATGATCAGGATTTTCAGGTAGGCTTTCTACCTTGATAAACAATATTGATGATTTCCAGCTTTACAGGCTGTAAGCAAGAGGGGGAAAGTCTACGCAAAGACCTGATTTGGGATCATTATTTGGTGGTAATTAAGTGCCCATATTTCATGAATGTGCTCTATTATTGCCTGTGGTTGGGACTGCCTGATCCACACTTGATACTTCTACATTTAAATTGTGCTGCAGCTGCTGTTCCTCCATCAGACCTCTTGCCCGTCTTCCCTCCATGCCTGTGGTGATCAGCAGGCCTGACTTTGCCCCACGGCAGGAGGGATATCCTTAGGCAACAGCTGATGGAGGAATGAGGATGAAGACCTGAAGAGCAATATCTACAGTTTCTGTGCTTTGGTGTGTAACCTTAGCAAAACTTTATTCGTGAGATATAAGGAAAGTCCTAACGGCACAGTTTTATCGTCAGAAGTAGGTACACTGTGTTCATATCATCAGAATTTTTTGTTCCACAAGCTTGTTTAGCGTGGGCTTCCTCAGAAGTATTCTGAAATCCTAAGTGGGTAATGCTCCTTGCCTCATTGTGGAAATGATCTGCCTTGCTGACATATTTTTACACTTTTCAGTTTGTTTAACTTTCCTTCCATTTGTTTCCTCTCTGTCATTTAATATATGGTCCATGTACAAATACCTGCAGTGATAAAGACACCGAGAGCTAGTAAAATAAAAATGTATTTAGCTAAACTACAAGGTTAAGCTAAAAAAAACCCAAAACACTAATGTTTAATAAGTGTGATGAAGAATCTTACAATAAGCTCCTATATGGATCTGCTTGATTGCCAAGGTCATCTTCAGAGAACCCTCTCAGGGTGCCCACTTTCTGGGGTGAAGGGGGGTAGCAACAAGATGAAGGAAGGAGCCACTTCTGACGTCTTGCCCCTGGAACCTCCCTCCCTCCCTCGGAACATCTGCCAGGCTCCCTCTTTATTTTTAGAGGACCATGGAAAACACTTTCCCCCTTAACATTCAAGAGGGTGTGTCCTTACTGCTGTTTATGCTACTGTGTCATATCCGTTGGTTACTTGTGGGTGGTTGTTTTTTTACTGATAAGTCTTATGCTGTTAGATTGAGAAATCCTTGTGGCTGAGAGGCAGGATACAAATGTGTGGAGAAGGGGTGGCCATTTTGTGAGCTTTTGCCTGGGAGAGTTCCAAATCATATATCAGCAGCAAAACTTGTCAAGGTATTGGTAGAATGACTCCCAAAGGCAGTGTGTCTAGACTCAGCAACACATTATGAGAGAAGGCAGTAGCTGAGGAGTCTTTTCTCATGGTGACAAGCAGGTGATTTTGGGGAGCATAAGTGGGGGATCACTGGGTTACTTGAATCCTTTAACACTGACCAACTGCTGATATTACGGTAAGGAACTTAACTATCACGTCCGCCATCAGTGATCCTGATGAGTCATCCTTGAAATAACGAAGGGGGTTGATATTTGATGTTTCTCCAATTGCCTGAGAGGTTGGGGTTTTAATTTAAAGTATTGCAAAAAGGGCCTTCAAGCTAAAGTTGCCCCGAGGCAACTTGCAAGTGACGTAGACCGAAGGGGGTGGGAATCATGTTTTTAAATATTCTAAATAATCAATGTACATTTTGTCTTAAGAGCTAAGCAATAAGATGTTCCTACACCTTTTCCAACCAGTAGTTCATTACTAGCCCCTCCTGGTTCTATGCAATTGGCATTGCTTTTACAGTGGTACCTCTGGTTACGAACTTAATTCGTTCCAGAGGTCCATTCTTAACCTGAAACTGTTTTTAACCTGAGGTACCACTTTAGCTAATGAGGCCTCCCACTGCCGCTGCTCCGCCACTGCACGATTTCTGTTCTCATCCTGAGGTAAAGTTCTTAACCCGAGGTACTACTTCCAGGTTAGTGGAGTCTGTAACCTGAAGTGTTTGTAACCCGAGGTACCACTGTATTAATAAATAATGGCTGTTCCCCTCCTTTGTTGCAAGTTTGCAGTATTAGGAATTTCTGGTTCCAAGTAACATTCAGAGAGGCATTCTCCTCAATAGGGGAAATAACGTTTCATCTGAAAACACCAAGCTAAAATTTTAACAGCTGTAACTTAAATAGAAGCCTTTTCGTCTTGAGAAATGTGTTATTCAGCCAGAAGGGAAACACAAGCACATGCTTGCAACTTCTGCTTTGCACCTCCCCCCCTCGCCGCTTCTGAAATTACCACTTCCTTTTGTTTCACAGTCAGCTGAAGTGCTCTGATAACCACTGCCATTCTGACACACAATATAGTATGGCTATGGTAGCATTGGAGATTGAAAAAGGGAGTGCTTGCAAAGGCGCATGCAAGTCAACTTGCTCCATTCTTCCTTTTTGAAGTGCTGAATGTTAACTTTTTCTACATATTAAAATATTTTGAGGTGGGGGGGGGGAGAAGCTGGATTTGTTTCTAGCCCGACAATGTGCACAGATGGCTTCTGTTAAAGCAGCAGAGATGGTTTACAGAGATAGGAAGTAAGATTGTCTAACCAGGATATAGGCAGCTTCTTTTAACCAGAGCCAGGCTATTTGTCCAGCATTGGCCACTCTGACTGGTCCATAGAAAGCCAGACCATTGGTCCATCTTGGTTAGTGTTTCCTTCAACCTTTTCAGACTCGGGCCCCACTTCTAACCCAAACATGCAATTGGTGACCCATTTCTCAATCTTTTACCATATATTTGCATGGTGTGGTGCTCCTGTTGCATTGCAACCCACCTCAGATTCAGGCCGTAACCCACTTGTGGGTCCCAACCCACTAGCTGAAACTAGTGGTCCATGTTGACTAGCAGTGACCCTCCGGTGTTTTAGCCACAAGGGACATTTCCAGCCCCATACAAAGATAAGTGTTTAAACCTGTATATCATTTCTCGGCCTTTAAGCTAAGATCAAGTGTAGCATGTAGTTTAACCTGTGACCTCCTTCTACATGTAAGGCTGATGGTCATACAACAGAGCTTTGGTGGCAAATGGATTCTCTCTAGACCCATTATTTTATAGTACAGTAACTCTAATTTCAATTACTTGAAAAATATGGCTTGCAAATGCCAACCAGAATTCATTCTCAGCTATTATCGCTGTTATCGCTGAGCAGTGTGCAAGATGAACATGGGTAAAATGGCACACTTCCTGGTTTGTTTAATAGGGCATGTCGGTGTAATTAAAACAACTGTTCTCCCCAAATGTCTTTGCTTGGAATCTGCAGTAGATGTCCTTGATAAATTGTTCCAGAGGCTAGACATAATGTGTTTGTAACATGAACTTTTCAGAATTAGGACTGCGTGTAAGTCTATTGCACTCAGATCTGAAATCCATTTTATAGAATGCTTGCAAGCACTGAAGTTTCGGAATCGCCTCCTGCACTTAAAGAAATGAATTGGTGTCTTATTTCCTAACCAGCAGTTCAAATTGTGTGAATTGTTGTGCTTAATCTCTGTATAAGAACAGGGGCATCTGGCTCCAGTTACTCTAAATAGTTTAAGCCCAAATTCACAAATGTCCCAAACTCACTCTCTCGTTTGAAATCAAGATGTTCTGGTCTCAGTGGTGTTTCTTCCAAGTCAGCATGCTTAGAATTGCTTCCTGAATAGTTTTTGAAGGTGCTGCAAAATGTTTGTTTATTGAAAAGTTTATATAACGGGAGAGGGCTAAATGGTCTTGATTTTTAGAATGTGCTTGTTAATGTTCTTCACTCCAGTGAGAGACCTAATCAATAGCTGTCAGACCACTGCCATAAAAGTAGGACAGTCATTAGCAGATGACTTTGACCTTTATCAGGCAAAAGGCTTACTGGGTTTAATCAGTTTGCTCACAAAGAAATAGCAAAACATCTGTTTGTTTTTTAAAAAATCAGCTGCTTCACAAACCATATTGTGAGTTTCCTGTCTCAATTAAGATACCAGCAAAGGTTTCTCGGGGTATAAGAGGGTGAACGGCGGTTCTATTATTTTCATCTAGGGACCATATTTTTATCTCTTAAAATCAAGAGTTCACTTATATACTTGAAATAGTTTTGCACTCTCAGTGAACTTGTTCAGGGAGCAGAAATCTAAGATGGCCACCTTCTCCCCACATACTTGTAAGAGAAATGGAACAAACTGCTGATCTCTACCTTAATACTACCTTTGTGAAATCAGATACTCATATGATGTCCAGCATTTTTCATATTCCAAATACAGTGGTACCTCGCATTACAAACACCTCAGGTTACAAACACTTCGGGTTATAGACTCCACTAACCCAGAAGTAGTACCTCGAGTTAAGAACTTTACCTCAGGATGTGAACAGAAATCGTGAGCTGGCAGCAGCAGTGGCCCCATTAGCTAAAGTGGTACCTCAGATTAAGAACGGTTTCTGGTTAAGAACAGACCTCTGGAACGAATTAAGTTCATAACCAGAGGTACCACTGTATGCAAGGCCATTTCTTCAGAGTTGTTGATTTTCTATTTGAGAGTAGAGATCTCCCATTTTAGTAGCAAACTTCCTGAGATGTTGTCCATTGGGCTCTTAGTGTCTTTGATTAGAAAAGGCACTATGTGGGCTTTTAACAATTTTATTACAAAATTCCCATTGATGCCTTGCCATCCATGACATCTTCCATCCATTGTGTAGACTGGGATAGTACTCACCAGCATCTCTGCTCTAGAGAACACCAAGCTCTGGTCTCCCTTCTGATGATAAACCCACAGTTCTATGATTCATGTTTTGTGCTCGTAGTTTTCCTTGATAATCATATTTTCAGAGAGAAAGGTAGCAGCCCTTTGCGTTATGGAAAACTTGTTTTAAGATTCCCTTTTGAGGACTTTTGTGCACTGAAGTTATTTAAAAGGGCCATTGTAAAGATGGCAATGTAAGATCAGAGCATCTACCAATAATATTATCCCAGATTTTACCCTGATGCGTCTCACCTCTTGTCAGATACAAGTCAAACCAGCAGTTATTTGTAATTTAAAGACAGAATGATGCATCTGTCA